GTCTGATGAAGAAACCTCGGAAACTGATAATAGAGTTTCAGAAATGCCATTTAAAGGATCACTACCAGTGACTCAAGACCGGAAGAATATGTGTGATTCAGAAATTATAGTGTTAGACGATGATGACTCTGACACTGACTCGAAAAGCAGTGAAGATGAAGGAACAAGGCAGGGAAGATTCATGAGTCTTAAACGCAGCTTTTTCAACATGTAGGACTTGTTTGTTTGTGTATATATCTAGATGATGCATGCTGTATTTAGCTGCATTTGGGTGGTGTATGTCTCTTTTTAATTATTTTTTTGGGGTAAAATGTGAAACTTTATATTATCATAGAATTGTGACAGCGGTTAAAGAGACAACTACATAGGAAAGCTAAAACATGAAAACAAAAAAGGGACAAAGTAGTCGAATAACAAATGTCTTAGTATATTGATAAGATCTTCGAAGAAAAAATACTGATTCATCTAAGTTTAGGCCTGGGCACAAATACTTGTTACTCGGCTTGTATTCGCTATTCGGTCCGTACTTGGCTTGAAAAAGCAAGTATTTGTCCCAGACAAATCGAGTAACAAGTCAACATATTCTATTACTTGCAAGTCTGAGCCAAGTATCAAGCCAACAATTTTTTTTTATTACATGACTCGTTATTCGGCTTGATACTTATTTACATTATTTGCCTTGATATTTGTTAATACATGAAGGTATGGGTAAATTATCTTTTGGAATTTTAATGTTTTGTGATTTTAGGATGTTTGAACTTTGTAAGAACTTTGAATGTTTTGTAATTTGTATGGTGATTCTTTTTATTTTCAAGTAGCAAGTATATGATTTTGGCAAGTAACAAGCCGAGTCAGGTTACTTGCAAGTCACATGATTTTGGACGAGTACTTAATTGAGCAAGTACTTGCTTCGAACGAGTCAAATATCCAGGCCGACCTAAGCTTAAGCTTGGAAATTTGCATTGTTGCGATGAGCAATTTTCACTAGAGACCAATCCTCAAAACCTCTTCAATAGACAATTCCACAACCGGCAACAAGTTCTCCAAAGAGAAACACAAAAATGAAACCGCTTCAATAGACAATTCCACAACCGGCAACACACGAGCCTCTTCGGACAGGCAGAGAAACCGCCTCAGGCCGCTATTTTTGAGATATCAGAAGTTACGAGAACCATCTCCTAGGCGTGTTAATTAGTTGCCTGATAGATATGCCACCTTTATTCGACATCACTAGAGCTTTTAACGTTGACGTCCCCTACCAAAACTTTGAGCCGCTCTTCGAATTGTCGAACGAAACCAGAAATAAAAAAATACGTATCAATGGAAAACATATGAACCACATCTATGATCTAAAGAGAGATAACCAAGAAAAATATCGCGCCACGGAGGCTCTGAACACCGCGACACAGGAAGCCTCGCCGCTGCAACAAACATAAATCCCACTTAGACTATCCACATCAAAACAAATCATCGTTCATAAGACATCGTCGATGGCAGACAACTTAGAGCATCCTCAATAGGTAAAAACTTTTTGAGCCTATAAAATACACTATTTTAATAATTTTTGTTATTTATTTAAATTTAAATGATTAAAAAACCTTCAAACCAATCAAATAGTTTTCAAACCTATAAAATACACTATATGAGTTTCTACAAAAAAAAAAAATGGGAAGAGTTTCTTATGTTGGAACCCGTTTTCATTCTCTCTCTTACTTTTTTGTCATTATTTTTTTTGTAAGAAACCCTTGAAGAAACTCAACATTGGAGGGGCTCTTAGTGACCATGACGAACCACATCTCCAGCAAACCGATAAGAAAGAGAGAACATCGGATCTAGCAACATCGCGATTGAGTTTTATCCTCAAGGATCACAACAACGTACAACCAAGATCTAGGAGAGCTCTCTCCACCACAGAAAACTCCACCAGTAGGTGTCAAGAAGAATCGGGAGCCATGTATTAAAAGTTTGACCATTAAAGTTACCTAAACGCCACACATCCCCTCCGAATCAAACCACCAGACTAAGTCGCCGGAAACCCACGCCGCAATACCACCAAGGAGGCTCCTTTACTCTAACAATCGTCGATTCTGAAGTCAGTAATGCCATGAATAACTCCACAAAATTTGAGCTCGATTGGACTTCATATTATCCTCCAAATGAACCCAAAATAGATAAATCGAAACTATTTTTGGACAGGTTTGAATAATTTATAGCCGAGCTTGCAATGCAAATTGTTGTTGCCGAATGTCTCTGATTTAAAAGCCA